TAGTACGATCCGGCGTCCCTGCAATATATGCTAGACTTCTTCCGATCGGTTGCTCAATCCATCCCATCATCATCACCATCTGCATCGACCTCTCCGGACCTGGACGTTGCTCCCGACTCCATGCAAGGGACTGCTAGGGATATGCTTCAGGACCGTGCTGGTATTATAGTGCTGCGCGAGGATCTCGATTTCTATGCGATCCCACCTCGCCCAGATATAGACCAGGCGGAGATGATCGAGGTCAAGCGCGCGGCTGCAAAAGCATTGTTAAAACAAGACGGGATATTTTCTGGGCTGAGAAAGAGCGACGAAGCCGGCTCGACAGAGCAGCATCTCATAGAGATGCTTACTGCAGGGTGAGTTGACTATTCCCACTCATTGCCCCAATAGGTGATACAAACAGATTTTTTTTCGAGACTAACTGATCGCAGTGGGTTTGATCGTGACGACCGATGGGGCCACCGGGCCCCAGAGCCCAACAAGGCGGTAATATGCAGCCTGGCTCTGGCCAAGCTGCGTACCGACATCCGGGGAGACCTGTCGAACAACAACGCAGTTGGCATGGCTCAGAAGCTCCTTCTATTCTGGAGGAAACCAGCCAGGAGATGCTGGTGGGAAGGAGTTGAGCTGGATGATGTGGAGGGAGTTGAAGGCAAAGTGAAAATTTGGATTCGTAGAGTATGGACTCTAGAGATGGTGAGTTTTCCCTTACTGTTATCATATATCTCAAGATCTAACCAATATTTGCAGAGCGTAATCGGGCTTCGATAGCCTTCTCGCGGCGGTCATATCGTACCAATGGAACTTTTTGGTCTCCGCCGTTATCCTGCGATTTCTTTCGTCCTCGTCGATGCATATTAGAATCGCTTTGTTAGCAGCCCATTCTTTGTTTTTTTCCCTGCGTTGCCCAGTGCACATTTGCGGAGTTGATGATATCCCCTATATCCCGAGTCTGCATCCGCAGCCTAACAGACAAGAGGGATGGCGTATTCAATTATCATTGGGTACTGTGTAATCCTGTTTATAGTTTTCATTAGCTGGCCGGACCCCATGCATTGATCTGTATTTTCATCTAATTTCATTCCTATCCTGCTTTGTCTTAAACCTTTTTGGCCGCTTAGCGCTCCCTGTTGCTGGGCTTTGACAATGTGAAAGACTCTGTTGCCGAGTTGGAAATCCATATAATGTGTCTCTACAATATACGCAAAATAACACGAGGATTACATGGCAGTCGCTCAATATTTCAATATAAAATGAACTCTGTAGCTCCCAAGTGTGTGTTCTTGTTCTCCAGACAGGCTTGCCCTGGATGTTATATCACGTGATCACATGGCTGGAAGGGGCCTAGCGTGGAAAGGCCGGCAGTTCTGGCAAAACGCGACGAGCAGAAAAGGCGGAGCTCGACCGCGATCACCGTCAAAGAGCAGCTTTGGCTTCAGTTCACCATCCCCATTTCGCAGCCTCAATTCCGGAACCGCGATTTCCTTCAGCAATTGTTCGCTTCAGGCGCTTCCTACCCGCGCAGCGATACCTCGGCCACAACACTTTGAAATCACCGTTTTCAATCATCTGCTGTCAGCCCTTTCGTCCAGCGGATTGTACGCGGCCCTGTTCGCCGACCGACTTGCGCAGTGTCTGAAAGGGACATGTCCCTGACCAGCTAAATGGCCAACATGTCCCCTCTCAGAGGCTACATCACATCATACCCGCCTCGTGTGCGCCAATATGGCAATGCGCTTCTCACCCCGATCATCCCACCTAGCCAAGTTGGCCCGACTTCACGGACGACCAAGCGAGGAACCGCCGCCATCAATTATGCGGAAGATGGTTACGATGATGAAGACTTTGAGGACAGCGAGGGACCTCGGCGGCCAACTGGGCTAAGGAGCCTTCGACGGGAGGAGTCAACGTTTGACAAGGTGCCGCTGGCGGAGAAGCTGGGGAAAGAGATCCACGCCCCTGTTGAGGTCCAAGGGGTTTTTCGCGATTGGATGATCAAGAGGATGTTGCGACCAGCGTATGTGCCGCCCAGACTGATTCTTTAAGCGTTTCCAGTTTGCCTCTGTGTTTTCCCGTCATTTGTTATGGTACTGACTTGGAGTCTTCTCCCTTCGCACAGTTGCGCCGATCAGCTGCAAATTCAAGCGCAGCTCCCTCTTACCCTTATACCTATTCGAATTGATCTGGAGGTCCCAGCGCATCAACCTTTAGAACCATTCCCTTTGCCGCGAACAGTCCTCGATCCCAGTATCAACCCTACCTTGCCCGCCTACAGACGGCCAGAGGCGCTGCCTGCCTATCGCATCAAAGACACGTTCCTTTGGAATCTTCACGAGGCTCTTGCGACTCCCGAAGAATTCGCCGTAGGGTTCGTTCGCGATATGGATTTACCGAATCCGCAGGCCATGACGATGGCTATTAGCAACCAGATCCGTCAACAATTGGAAGAATATGCCGGCGTCGCTCTGCATCCTTTATTCCAGAGCGTACAGCCAAAGCCCCCGGCTCCGCAGATTGGCCTGTCACGAGATGTATCTGCTACACCAGTTTCCACCCACGCCGCGACACCTGACAGCAGACCTAACCAGGTAACGGTGACCAAGGAACCTCTCGTGAACGACAGCATACTAAACCCGGACGACGCGTATCGGTGCATGATCAACTTGAATATCAACTTGCAAAATAAACTTTACACGGACAAATTTGAATGGTCTCTATTACATCCTCCAGGCATGGCGGAGGAGTTTGCCAGAATTACGTGCGCGGACCTTGGTCTGGGTGGGGAATGGGTCGGAGCCATTGCGCATGGTATCTACGAAGCCGCTCTGAGACTAAAGAAAGAAGTATGCGAAAGTGGTGGGCTTATCAGCGGCATGGGTGGTTATGGTAACGAGATCGACAATCAAGCTGCCAACGGCGCGGAGGCGGGCTGGCGTTATGATCCCGAGGGACTGGGCGACGAATGGGAACCTAAAGTGGAGACACTGTCAAAGGAGGAAATTGAGAAGCGTGAGGGTGATCGCGAACGTCAGATTCGTCGTCTACGTCGAGAGACGGCCAGATTCTCCTCCACTGCGGGCATAACGCCCGACGCCTCCCGACAGGGCAGTGGGTACTTTGACGTCGACAGTGAAACGCCGCTAGGAAGAGGCGAACGGAGCAAACGAAAGAGACGATTCCGCAGTCTGAGTCCCTCGGGGAGAGGAGGAACCCCTGGAGGACGAGGGACTCCGGACACTGGTTCAGGAGCTGGCTATGGTGGAGGTGGCGGTACACTTGCCGACTGGTTTGTCATACCTTTAATATCTCTTCATAGTGCGCATACTGACCACCTTCTTTGTTCGATAGGGAGCGTCAAACTTGGAGATGCACCAACTGTATGGTCTGGGGTACGGCCGTTTGGGCCGTACGAGATGGCCCGGCAGGCCCAAGAGTAAGATCTATATGCCACATCTCTAACTGAATACATGCTGACTCAACTGCGACAGACTCTCTGCCACAACTGTGGTCTATTGTACGAACGAGACAAGGTGGCCCCCGAGTGGTCCAGAGATCTACACCGTCACGATATGCCCATCGGCCGGTAGTAGACTTGGTGGATTGCATAAGCGTAGATGTTTCTCTTTGATCCCCGGCTCTACGCTCTGTACCTATACGGCAGAGGTGAGATCGATCCCTCTCCCTGCTACGATACCTCAAGCAGGGGTCAGAGCCAGAGTCTGATTCCATGTTGTTTCTTTCTCTCCACAGGCCGGCTATTTCGTGACATATTCCTATGAAGTATCCCTGACGTGATGAATCCTCGTCGAAGAAAGGCCCCCAACCCCCCACCAGCCTGCCTTGTGTTTTCCCCGTGCCGAAACAAGCACATCACACACCCCCAGTCAATGTACTATCTGATTGATGATATCTCTAATGAACCTCTATTCTATAGTTGGGGCAGGCGTTTCTCATTATTTCCATACTTTCCATTACCGTTTGCTTTTTTTTTACTTTCTTACTCTCTCTAATATGTTCTTCTTGATGGATTGGTATTCATTTCCACACCTACCTACCGTTGCTTCTATGGCAATAAGTAGGTTTGGGCCACTTTTATTTCATTCTCCATCATCTTTGGTTGGGTTTGTAAGGACTCTAAAATATTCGGTGATCAATTTTATTTCACTTTTGCTTCAGTGGGGTGTTGGTCTGTTTGGGCTGGTATACTACGTTACGAGGATCTGGTGGGCACTTTTCTGTTTCCTTTTCTTTCTCATTTTGAAGTACGGTATTCCTGCCTATTCTGGTTTTATTGTCCTTTTTGTGTGGGCGATCAAACAGGATGGTTATGTGGTAGCTACCTCAGTAGACTTGTTATCGATTGATGTGTTATGATAGTTTCGGCGTCATAGCAGAAGGTGCGAAGAGAGTTTATATGCTTGGAAATTTACTCGTTCTGAACAGCCTTATGACTGTATTGTACTATAACTTCATCCTAGGGAGTATCATATCGCGGTCGGCCCTAGTTGGCGATGGATATATATATATACACGAGGGGTGCTCGGTTCAACCATCATCATCATAAAAAACAAGACCACACACAATGCAAACCAACTCAAAAACACATGAACACGATGACATTCTATTCGATGAATCACAGGCAATCTAAACTAAACTAGAACTAACCAACACTAATCCGGAACGAAATTGCTCTCTATCTTAGCTACTATATATCATCAATCCATCCCATTACTTTCCCCACAGGCCAGTCGTATATTATGTCCTATCCCCACCTAGCATTATTAAACCCATCAAGAAGAGATAAGAGAAAGGAAGTAAGCAAAATCAGATGAACACACAAACAAGACACACAAATGGAAAAGCGTCAAAGAGAAGACGAAAGAGTACACACACGCACAGAGCGAAAAGGTCACTCCGCCTTCCATCTACCACTCAACGTCAATCGCCCTACTTAAATCAATTACATACCACGAGCCAGAGAAGAGAACCAGGTAAGCACACTACCGCGCCCTCTTAGCAGTAGGAGCAGCAGATGTAGTAGCTACCTCCGGGGGTTCCTATATCCCAGAGAATAAATTAATTAGCCATAAGCCCATAACCCCATACACCAAAGTCCCAAGAATAAACCAAGCGAAAACAATTCAAGGGAAAGGAGGAATACAAAACTCACGGAAGAAGCCCTCCTCTTCCTCTTTAGCACATTCATCCCCATTCCTCTTTGTCCACCCATCCCCACGCAAATTACATTCCCACTTCCCAGGATTTTGATCCCGGTGTTGATATTCAGCGTAACAGATGGTGATGGTGATGCAATTAAATTTTCTGCTGCTGCACCGGAGTTGTCGGTAGAATTGAGATGACCCGTGCGATGCAAAGCCGTAATGATAGATGTGGCCATGTCTGTCAATTTGGAATGGCGCTGGTATGGGGATGATTGCGGGACGGTGGAGGCTGATGTTGAGGATGGAATGGAAGCGGGTGATGCCTGGGGATTGAGGGTTGATACTGGGGCTGGAGCTGGAGCTGATGGGAGGATGATGCTGTTTGCGTTGCCCTGAATGCTCATTGATGCGTCGATGTGGATGGTTATGAGGCTGGTTTGGTCTGTTTCCCCATGAGAGGAGGCATTTTCGGCTTCAAGTTCTTTTTGGAGATTGTGAGCGGAAGGAGAGTATGGAGGTGGCGGTGTAATGGTGTTTGTCTGATCGGAATCTTCTTGTGATTCGGCTAATTTGTGGAATTGATGAAGGATGGATTCAGATGGTGGAAGCATTGTGAGCAGAATTCGGTCTGATAAGCGCTAGAAGTCATAGAGTAAGGATGAAAAGATTGGTATAGATGTGATGCACTAGGCAACGAAAGACTGTCCTACGGAAAGGAGACCGGACTTTAAAGAACAGGATGAAAGGATGGGTGAAATGAGTAATTGGTGAGGATTGGTCACTGCCGCTAAGAACAATAGCATGCAATTGACATAAATAAACGCTATCAAAAACATCTATCGAGGTAACTAGGATGCATCATTAAACGAACTGTCTCTCGACACCATCCACTAGCAGGCAAAAGCGATACCCCTATCGCGCCAGAATGGCTTATGAGTGCATCACACAGTCCGTAATGGTCAACATTGTCTCATAACAATGGCACCTGCGTCTCGAATTGACGTGCTCTGGCTGTGATATTGTTCTCCTCCATCAATAGGCGGAATAGGGTCACGTGTCGATTCAGAGAAAACAAGGGTCCCTATGCGGTGCCACCCCGGAGTTTCAAAGGATGAATAGAGCATCTGAAAGACACAGCCAATTCTGACGGATTAGAGTCTGACACTTCCAACCAACAAGGACTGCTCGGCACTTGCGTGATCCCGAGAGACCATAAATCAACCGGCTAGTCCGATACATTCCCTTTCCTAGCCCCAAGAACTGAACTGGAAAGTCAAATGATTACTTTAAGCCCAGCGGTCCCCATGACGCCAATCCCCGTATGCAGAGTAATCACCGCTAGGGCCGAAGCCACCAGGTGAGCTTTCCGGATTATTTCCACTTATGATTGAGGCGGAGTTTCCTTTAGACGAAATCCCATGCATGGCGCCTACTCGGTGAGACCCGGTTAGCTTTTCCAGCCTATCATCCTGACCCATCATGCGAAGTAGTAATAGGCCGCCTGGCATGTCACAAACTTACTCGTAGTGTTGGGTGTAGCGTCTCCGCGGGCATGATGGTCCGTATCTCCTATTGTCTGCCCTTGCCGTTCTTTCCGACGTTCCGGATAATATTTGCCGCCTGGGTGCAGTGGATGCGGAATCTAGATACTGATTAGCAGAAACAAAGGCCGGCGCGCAAAGACTTGATTATACCAGCGTTCGTTCCACGCCAGCCGAATTTGATTTCATCTCACGGACTGCTGGTACTGACTTCGCGAAATTCATCCCCCTCGATCTGAACCTCACGGTCGCGAATGCGGCGCATCAAGGCAAGGAAGTTGCTTTCTCTGAACTTCTGGCTTTGATCATGTTTGACACTGTCTAAAAGCTGCCCCGCAGTTCGGGCGAGCTCGTCCGCATCATTCACCCGTGCCTGTTGATCATTCTTCTCTGTCTGGGGAATGGTATCCGATCCAATCTTGATCTTCTCTTCCGTGCTTTCAGCCGTAACATGATTCGTTCCTTCCACGACCTCTTCGGCGTGTACAGGTGTAGTTTCGGTTTCCTGCGACATCATGTCTGCCCGCGCCTGCTCAAATGCAGCTTCAAACGCCGATTCATCAAATGTGTCGGCCATCGGTTGCTGCTTTGCTGCGGTGGCTTGCGCAGGGGGGAAAGCAGCACCAGTCATAGGGAAGCGAGGTGCAAAGGTTGGCTGAAGCCCTTGGACATGTGGCTGATGCTGCTGGAAAGAGGGTCGTTGCTGCTGAGCGAACTCATTCTGCCAACCCTGTTGTGACATGGCTGCCATCGGCGCTACAGATGGTCCTGATGTTTGATGGAGAGAATGCGAAGGTCCCGATATATGCATATTCTGGAAGTCTGCCGCCCAGTTTGACGATTCTGCCGGGCCTGATACGGGAAACTGATGAGAGGGAGGAACGAAAGGGCCGGCATGCTGTACATCGGGAAGGGGCGCTCCTGCTAGACCGGACTCGAATGCGGCAAATTCGGGATCGAGAACCCCATGGCTTGGATTTTGAGATCGAAACCCCTGGTAATTCCATAAGTACAATTCGGTTAAACACGCTCACGGCGAGAGACTCACTTGAGAAGGCGATTGTCGAGAAATAATTCTATCTTGCTGGAGGGTACGATCAACAGACGCATGCTTTTGGAAGTTCTGCAGCGCATTCGAGGGACCACACAGAGCATCACTCATGGTGCCGACTAGGTTGAACGCGAGCTGAGAGGATGGGGCGTGTCGGATTGCTTGCTGGCTGTGTTGAGGAGAACAGGGTATACAATAAGCGTAGTGAACAGGCAACTGATAGTAGTATTTAGGAATGCAGGATGTATATACAAGAACAAGCAAAGAAGTGAGTCCAACAGAAGACAAGAAGAGAATGAGAGGAGGCAAAGGCAAGTAAGAGAGAGTAGTAACAGCCAAGGAGACCAGAGAACAAGCCGCGGGGCAGAGCGACCGAGGACTGCCGAGGCCCCCGGATCACGTGTATATGAGCATGACTGGAGATGGCTGACTGAGCCGATAAGATAAGATCGGGCTGCGGCTGACTTGCGAAACGGACAAGCTGGCGGTGTTTTGCTGCTGCTTCTCCTGTTGCGTGTTGATTCGGCCCTCCACCACCGCCTTCTTACCCCCCAAGAACCCCCCTAATACTCCCCGGCAGGGCCACCCACGAGCTTACGTCCCTGTTCACCCTATAGAGTCGATCTTAATTCCGAGCAAAAAGTTGATCAATATGGTATGTCCCCCAACTCCCCCCAAACGGTCCCAGGCGAATTGCCCATGAACATCGCTGACGTCCAAGCAACTAGGCTGCTCAAGTAATCTCCAATTCCGGACACGATGAGATGATTGTACGTGAACCGAGACAGACCCTCCTACGGCATCGTGACAATGGCTTCGTCCCTTTCTGTGTGGTCCCTGAAACTGACCGCAGCGCATAGCACGATGCCGGCCTGGACTACTACGGCCGCAGATTGGCAACATGTTCATCGGACAAAACGATAAAGATCTTTGAAATTGAAGGAGAGACACATCGGTTGATTGAGACATTGAAGGGGTGAGGATCCAGAACTTCCTGGTCATCTTACGCGCCATCGATTCTAACCTCCGGCCGTGTGTGAACAGACATGAAGGAGCTGTGTGGTGTGTGGCTTGGGTACGTCATAATGGCATTCTTTGTCAAAGCTGTCCTATTGAACTATCTATCTGACTCTGGACTTCTCTAGGCGCACCCTAAGTTCGGAACTATCCTCGCTTCCTCTTCGTACGATGGAAAGGTGCTCATCTGGCGCGAACAACACCAGAACGCCACGTCACCCGTCGCTGGCGGCGCTTGGACGAAGGTGTTCGACTTCTCTCTACACACTGCTTCAGTGAACATGGTATCCTGGGCTCCGCATGAGAGTGGCTGTCTCCTGGCTTGCGCCTCCTCAGACGGACATGTTAGCGTTCTCGAATTCCGTGACAACAGCTGGACTCACCAGATTTTCCACGCCCACGGTATGGGTGTGAACTCTATCAGCTGGGCACCTGCCGCCGCCCCTGGCAGCTTGATCAGCTCCAACCCTGGACCGGGCCAGCAGCGGAGATTCGTCACTGGTGGAAGCGACAACCTGCTGAAGATCTGGGACTACAAGTATGCACCATGAGCCGCTACACACAGATACTGTGCTTTAAAATGAACTGAGCTGACCCTTACGCCTCTGCAGCCCGGAAACCAAGACCTACAACAACACGCAGACTCTGGAAGGCCACTCCGACTGGGTCCGGGATGTCGCCTGGTCGCCTAGCGTTCTTTCCAAGTCCTACATCGCCTCTGCCTCTCAAGATAAGACAGTCCGGATCTGGACTTCCGATGCGTCAAACCCTGGCCAGTGGACCAGCCAGCAACTCGAGTTCGACACTGTCCTCTGGCGCGTCAGCTGGAGCCCTAGTGGAAACATCCTTGCTGTGAGCGGTGGCGATAACAAGGTCAGCTTGTGGAAGGAAAACCTCAAGGGACAATGGGAGAAGGTAAAGGATATCGAGGAGTAGGCTTCAGATTTTCATTTTCCCTAAGTTTCATTCTTCATATCTCATGTGTGATAACGGATAAATTGGGTTCCTGCCATGTATTTCATCCGACCCCGACGTTGTCAAAAATCAAAAACGAGCTCAAAAACAGGCAAAAACATCATCGTTTCCAGAAGATAAACGGACCCTTGTCCAGCGTGTCCAGCAGATCTATCCAAGTTCCGATCATTATTCTACCTTCCGGTAGGATGACGCCCTCGTAAACCTGTACCAAGTAAAAATCAGACTCAAAGTCCGGTGGCGGCCATTTTGCCTCGCAAAGCCATGCGTTCTCATCCAAAGCGGGCTCTATGCCATCATGAGCAGGAGGAACGGGCGGCTGCTCTTGATCCCATTGATATATCACGAAGCAAATGCGACGCCAGCCAGAAAAGCCCCCTTGAAAATCGGCAATCGGTTCACAGAATCCTCGCACCAGATCTGGGGGCTGAACGACGTAATCAGGTGTCCTCCGTGTTCCACGGAAATATGATCGTTCGAAGTTCAGAGGATCAAGAGGAACTACTGATTGAAGTATAGGTGGCCAATTCAAGGGGTTGGGATCGGGTTTCACTAAAAGAGACTACACAGCAGGCATTGAATCAGCTGGGTTCCTTTTCCTGGAGTATTTCGTGCAATACCTGAAACCGAACTTGTGCACAATTAGTATCCAGATCAGCGCATGTCTGGCGATCCTCGAGGATTTTCAGAGATCTCGGGTATGGGTGGACGCATGCTACACACAAGTTAACACTCGCTTATCTTCATGGTATGGTTGGATAACAGATGATCGACTGACATGCATAACCCATCCATGGCAATTCATCATCAGAAGGCGCAAGCTCACCCCATGATTTGGGCTTGTAGCGTGGAGCCAGGTTGATATAGGAAGCGTGAAAGGTCGCTTCAGTCGGGCAGAGAAGATGACGAAGCCAGAAGTTGCGTATGTGAAGTAACTTCTCCAGGTCGAGCTTGTTTTCAAGCACAATTGGTCTGCTGTTCTCAGCCCTGTAACCATAGACGACGCCAACCTCATAGTCTGTCCTCA